GGGCTTGAACTAGAGTCGGACCCCCACTCACAGTGTCCTTTCTGAAGCGCGGCCTGCCTCTCCCAGGTGAACGGCGTGGACATGAAGCTGCCCGTGGAGCTGGCCAATGGCCAGATCCGTGTCTACCAGCATGGTTCCGACGTCGTGATTGAGACCCACTTCGGCCTGCGTGTGGTCTACGACCTTGTGTACTACGTGCGGGTCACCGTCCCCGGAAACTACTACCAGCAGATGTGTGGCCTGTGCGGGGACTACAACGGCGACCCCAAGGATGACCTGAGGAAGCCCGATGGCTCGCAGGCAGGCGACGCCAAGGAGTTCGGCAACTCCTGGGAGGAGGCCGTGCCTGGTTCTCCCTGCGTGCCGCCGCCCACCTGCCAGCCGGGGAGCGAGGGCTGCAACCCTGACGGCCGGTGTCCTCCCGAGCTGGAGGACAAGTATCAGAAGAAGGAGTTCTGTGGGCTCCTCACCAGCCCCACAGGGCCGCTGGCCTCCTGCCACAAGCTGGTGGATCCCCAGGGTCCCTTGCAAGACTGTGTCTTTGATCTGTGCCTGGGTGGTGGGAACCTGAGCATTCTCTGCAGCAACATCCATGCCTATGTGAGTGCTTGCCAGGCGGCTGGAGGCCACGTGGAGCCCTGGAGGACAGAAACTTTCTGTCGTGAGTGAGGGAGAGACGGAGGGGCAGGGAGGGGAGAGGTTGAGGCACAGAAGGGGTAGACCCTGGGCCTTGCAGCCCCTCCCTCCCCAGCGCTCTGATCGGCACCCCCTCCTTACAGCCATGAAGTGCCCCTCGAACAGTCACTACGAGCTCTGCGCGGACACCTGCTCCCTGGGCTGCTCCGCTCTCAGCGCCCCTCCGCAGTGCCCGGACAGATGTGCCGAGGGCTGTCAGTGCGACTCCGGCTTCCTCTACAACGGCCAAGCCTGTGTGCCCATCGGGCAATGCGGCTGCTACCACAATGGTGTCTACTACGAGGTAGGAACCTTGTCACTGGGGCCAGAACATGGGGCCTCACCCCTCCCACTGCCCATCAGCCCCACAGCCTGTCTACCTGGGTGCTTACGTATTTCTTTTAGAGGCAGGGTCTCAGTCTGTCACCCAGGCTGGGGTGCAGTGGTACCATCATGGCTCACTGCAACGCCAAATTCCTTGGCTCAGGCAATCCTTCCACTTCACTTGCCAGTATCTGGGACTAACCACCATGCCCAGCGAATTTTTAATTTTTTTGTTGAGGCAGAAATGGGGGGCATCTGACTATGTTGCTCAGGCTGGTCTTGAACTCCAGGCCTCAAGCCATCCTCCCGTCTTGGCCTCCCAAAGTGCTGGGATTACGGGCATGAACTACCCTGCCTGGCTCACTCGGCGTCTTTTACTTATTTCTTTATTTTTTAAGACATAGTCTCGCTGTGTCGCCCAGGCTGGAGTGCAACCTCCGCCTCCGGGTTCTCACAATTCTTCGGCTTCAGCCTTTCGAGTAGCTGAGACTACTGCTGCGTGCCACCACACCTGACTAACTTTTTGTATTATTGGTAGAGACGGGGTTTTGCCATGTTGGCCTGGCTGGTCTCAAAGTCCTGACTTCAAGAGATCCTCCCGCCTTGGCCTCCCAACGTGCTGGGATTACAGGCCTGAGCCCCCGTGTCTGGTCTACTTGCCCTCTTCAGTGTCTCTTCCATCGACCCCTTTCCCTCTCCCCATGGCCCTACCTTGGTCCAACCTGTCCTCTTCCACCTGGGTCCCTCCCAGCTCCTACCTTTGCTCGCTCTGGTCCACTCTCCACGTGGCAGTGGTAAAGTGGTGAAGTCATTTGCCCAGAGTCACACAGTTTGGAAACAGCAGAAACAGCCTTCAAGCCCAGGCGATCTGCTCTGAGTTACTATGTCACACCATTTCTCCTACAGCAGACATTCGGTGGATATTTTGGAATGAATGACTAAATGAATCAAAGTGAATGAACAAATGAATGAATGAATGACGGCCCCATCACAGTTGTTCTGTGAAACTGTGCTTCAGTTTCACACACAAGGAGCCGTCCTTCTCAGAGCTGCTCCTTGTCTGTGATGTCGCCAAACCCCTCTGTGCCCAGAAGGCCAGAAGATGTGAGAGTGGGCTCCCACCCATGCTGTGCCTGATGGCCGTGCGCTCTCTCCCCACAGCCGGAGCAGACAGTCCTCATTGACAACTGTCGGCAGCAGTGCACCTGCCACTCGGGTAAAGGCATGGTGTGCCAGGAACACAGCTGCAAGCCGGGCCAGCTGTGCCAGCCCTCCGGAGGCATCCTGAGCTGTGTCACCAAAGGTGCAGCGCTTGGGCTAAGATTGGGGCTGCTGGCGACTCAGGGATGAAATACGGGGACTCTGAGGCTAGAGGGTGGCGTGATTGGGACATTCATGGCGGGGGGTGTTCAGGACTAAGGACTGAGGTCACAGACCTGGTGACCCCTGTGCCGCGTTTCACAGGGCCAGGGCCACCTACTTCTGGGAGGCAGAGACCTATAGGGGGAATCCAGGCTGTGGGGACCCTGAGAGGCAGGTTTCTTAGGGTGCATTTCAGAGACCCTTGGTATAAGGCAAGGACAGGTGCTTAAGGGCTACATAGTAAACGTTTAAGCTTAGCAGGCTGTGTGGTCTTGGTCACAGCTACTTACTCCTGCCACTGTGGCAGGAAAGCAGCCATAGACTACGAAGTGAAGAGGCGAGACTCCTATAAGACTTTAGAATACCAGAACAGGGCTGGGCACAGTGGCTAATGCCTATAATCCCAGGCACTTTGGGAGGACCAAGTGGGCGAATCACCTGAGGATTGGGAGTTTGAGACCAGCCTGACCAACATGGAGAAATCCCGTCTCTACTAAAAATAAAAAGTTAGCTGGGCGTGGTGGTGCATGCCTGTAATCCCCACTACTTGGGAGGCTGAGGTGGGAGAATCACTTGAGCCCGGGAGGCGGAAGTTGCACTGAGCCGAGAATGTGCCACTGCACTCCAGCATGGGCAACAAGAGTGAGACTCCATCTAAAACCAAACCAAACCAAACCAAACAGCCAACTATAGGACCTGTATAGACATGAGGACTCCGGAGTCTGGTTTTGCCTGCGGTAACCCTCAGATCCCTGGCACAGTGCGGGGTAGATGTGGAGGGAGCAGCTGTCCTTTACAATGGACAGCCTTTCAGGGTCGCCCTCTTCTGTCCCCAGACCCGTGCCACGGTGTGACATGCCGGCCACAGGAGACATGCAAGGAGCAGGGCGGCCAGGGCGTGTGCGTGCCCAACTACGAGGCCACGTGCTGGCTGTGGGGCGACCCACACTACCACTCCTTCGACGGCCGCCAGTTCGACTTCCAGGGCACCTGTAACTACGTGCTGGCAGCAGCTGGCTGCCCGGGGGTCAGCACGCAGGGCCTGACACCCTTCACCGTCACCACCAAGAACGAGAACCGGGGCAACCCTGCTGTGTCCTACGTGAGACTCGTCACCGTGGCTGCGCTGGGCACCAACGTCTCTATCCACAAGGGCGAGATCGGCAAAGTCCGGGTACGTGTGGCAGGACGGTCCCCTGAGGTCCCCAGGAGGGCAGGAGGGATCCCGACCACCACAGTTAGGAGCTCAGGGCTCTTTGTCTTCAAAGGGCCTGGGCCTGAAACCAAGTGTCAGTAAGAACACCAATCATTGCAGGAAAAATATCCTCCTGTGACTGGGAATTAAACAAGCCTGGCCGCTTGCTAAGGGCTTTCACTCAGGACCTGAGCATCTGGCTTTTTAGTAGACCTGGGTTTGAATCCAGCCTCTCCTTCTTCAGAGCTATGTGATGTTGGGCAGTTCACTTGGGAGGCATCAGTTTCCTCATCTGTAAAGTGGGCATCATAGGAGGGCCCACCCCGCAGTAAGGTGGTGCAACTCACGTGCTGAGCTCAGGGTGTAGCGCAGGAGAACACTCCTTTGAGTGCCTGCAAGGGAACAAGGGAGCAGCCCAGAGACCAGGACATGAAGAGAAACACAGGGAGATCCTCAGGGATCTAGCCCGGGAGAACACTTGTTTGAGGGTCAGTGAGGGAACAGTTGAGGCCCGGAGCCCAGGACTCAGAGAGAAATACACAGAAATAGGGCTGGGCACGGTGGCTCACATCTGTAATCCCAGCACTCTGGGAGGCTGAGGTGGGTGTGTCACCTGAGGTCAGGAGTTCCAGACCAGCCTGGCCAACAGGGTGAAACCCTGTCGCTACTAAAAATGCAAAAATTAGCCCAGTGTGGTGAGACAAGGTGAAAATACAAAAATTAGCCCAGCTACTCGGGAAGCGGAGGCAGGAGAATCACTTGAACCCAGGAGGCAGAGGTTGCAAGAGCCGAGACTGCCACACTGCACTCCAGCCTGCGTGACAGAGCAGGACTCTGTCCCAAAAAAGAAAAAAAAAAACAAAAAACTGAGTAATATAGGGAGATCGGGGGAGAAAGACGGCTATGCTTTCTGCCCAGGGAACTGGTGATGTAGCTTAATGGCAGCCCTGGGAGAGAGTAAGGGGCGGAACAGAGTCAGCACTGGGTAAATGATGGTGAGTGAATAACACAGAGAGTTACAGAGGCAGGGAAGAGAAGGGAGAAAAAGACAGAGACAGAGAAACAGACAGAGAGAGGGACAGAAGACTCAGAGATACAGGCTTAGGTGAAGAGACAGGGCGAGAGACACAGAGAGACAGAGACGGGGAGGAAGACAGACATCAGGGGAGAAGATCTAGAAAAAGTCAAGTGAGGTTTCATTCCCCAAGCCCTGGGCTAGAACAGACGTGCACACTGTGTCAGGATGACAATCCACCTGTTGGAGGAAGACTGGCCTCTTCCAGCCCCTGGTAGGATGAGAGAGAGGGAGGCAGGGGGCCAGAGCTGGGGCCTCCCCACCTGGAGTGACCCATTGGCCTCCTTCCCTGCTCCCCGCAGGTGAATGACTGTGCTGACAGCGTTGCCCGTCTCCGTGGCTGACGGGCGCATTTCGGTGACCCACGGTGCATCCAAGGCATTGCTGGTGACCGACTTTGGGCTGCAAGTCAGCTATGACTGGAACTGGCGGGTAGATGTGACGCTGCCCAGCAGCTATCATGGCGCGGTGTGCGGGCTCTGCGGTAACATGGACCGCAACCCCAACAACGACCAGGTCTTCCCCAATGGCACCCTGGCTCCCTCCATACCCGTCTGGGGCGGCAGCTGGCGAGCCCCAGGCTGGGACCCACTGTGTTGGGACGAATGTCAGGGGTCCTGCCCAACGTGCCCCCAGGACAAGCTGGAGCAGTACGAGGGCCCCGGCTTCTGCGGACCCCTGGCCCCTGGCACAGGGGGCCCCTTTACCACATGCCACGCTCATGTGCCACCTGAGAGCTTCTTCAAGGGCTGCGTTCTGGACGTCTGCATGGGCGGCGGGTCCCACGACATTCTCTGCCAGGCGCTGGCTTCCTATGCGGCCGCCTGCCAGGCCGCTGGGATTGTCATTGAAGACTGGCGGGCACAGGTTGGCTGTGGTGAGTGCTGGGGAGCAGAGGCGGGGATGCGGGTGGGGTCCTGTCTCTGGGGGGCTGGTTTGCTTTCACCCTGGTCCTTCTGAGTCTCTGTGTTTGCGTCTCTCTCTGTTTGTCTCTGTCTCTCGGTGCTTGTCTCTGTGCCTGTCTTTGCTTGTCTCTGTCTGTCTGTCTCTCATTCTCTCTCTCTGTGTCTCCCTCAGTTTCTGCTTGGGTCTCCTGGTCTCTCTCTTTCTCTCATTCCTTTCTGTGTCCTTCTCTGTCTCTCTGTGTCTCCTGCTCTGTCTGCCCTTTCTGTGTCTGCTCCCTTGTGTCTCTCTCTGTCTCCTCCACTGTGTCCTGGGACCCCTAACGCCCTTCTCTCTGTTTCTCTTCTTCCTGCTCCTTCATCTGCCCACAGAGATCACCTGCCCAGAAAACAGCCACTACGAGTTCTGTGGCCCACCCTGCCCGGCCAGCTGCCCATCCCCTGCGCCCCCCACCACCCCAGCCGTATGCCAGGGCCCCTGTGTGGAGGGCTGCCAGTGCAACGCAGGGTTTGTGCTAAGTGCCGACCGCTGTGTTCCCCTAAGCGACGGCTGCGGCTGCTGGGCCAATGGCACCTACCACGAGGCGGGCACTGAGTTTTGGGCTGACGGCACCTGCTCTGAGAGGTGCCGCTGCGGACCTGGGGGCGGCTCCCTGGTCTGCACTCCTGCCAGCTGCGGGCTGGGTGAAGCGTGTGCCCTCCTGCCATCAGGCCAGCACGGCTGCCAGCCGGTCAGCACAGCTGAGTGCCAGGCCTGGGGTGACCCCCATTATGTCACTCTGGATGGGCACCGATTCGATTTCCAAGGCACGTGCGAGTACCTGCTGAGTGCACCCTGCCACGCACTACCCACGGGGGCTGAGAACTTCACTGTCACTGTAGCCAACGAGCACCGGGGCAGCCAGGCTGTCAGCTACACCCGCAGCGTCACCCTGCACATCTACAACCATAGCCTGACACTGAGTGCCCGCTGGCCCCGGCAGTTACAGGTGAGGAGGGCTGTGGGCCAGGCAGGAGCAGGTGCCAGCTCTGCGGCTGCCTGAGATGGTAAGGGGTTCCCCATTCCCCTGAGCACCTTTCACAGCTTGGCGGGGGCATGACGGAAGAGTCCAGAGTATAGGCCAAGGAGCCAGATCGCCTGGCACAGTGGCTTCCTCCTCTCTGAGCCTAGTGTATTCCTCTGTAAAATAGTCTAAGAAAAGTCCCTGTTTTAGAGAAGCATGAGGAGTCAGTCACGTGTGCCTACAGAGGCTTTTTTGTTGTTGTTGTTTAATTTTTTGCGATGGAGTCTTACCCTGTCATCCAGGCATTTGTGCAATGGCGCAATCTCACTGGCTCACTGCAACCTCTGCCTCCCAGGTTCAAGCAATTGTCCTGCCTCCCCTCCAGAGTACCTGGGATTCCAGGCACTTGCCACCAAGCCCCGCTAATTTTTTGTATTTTTAGTAGAGACGGGGTTTCACCGTTTTTGCCAGACTGGTCTCGAACTCTTGACCTCGTGATCCACCTTCCTCGGCCTCCCAAGTGCTGGCATTACACCATGAACCATCACGCAGGCGCTTTTCTTGGTTTCTGATTTTCTTAGCCTTACTCTGTCGTCCAGGCTGGAGTGCAATGACAGGATCAAGGCTCACTGCAGCCTGGAACTCCTGGGCTCAAAAGATCCTCGCTTTGGCCTTGGCCTCCGGAGTGGCTGGGCAGGACTAATGGCAAACGCCACTACGCTGGCGAATTGTTATTTTTTTTTTGTAGAATTGGGGGTCTCACTAGGTTTCCCAGGCCGGTCCCCACTTCTGACCTCAAGCGATCCTCCCAAGTCGGCCTCCCAAAGTGCTGGGATTGCAGGCTGTGCCACCAGGCCCGGCCTAAAGATGCTGCTTATTATTTTAAGAGGGGAGGTGACGAGCTCAGGGTCCCACAGCTAGTACGTGGTGGGGCCAGGATTCAAACCTGTGTTCGCTGCGCTCATCGCACCCCCCAATCCCCGCCCGCAGGTGGACGGCGAGTTCGTGGCGCTGCCCTTCCAGCTGGACTCGCTCCTGCAGGCACACCTGAGCGGCGCCGACGTGGTGGTGACCGCGACCTCAGGGCTCTCGCTGGCTTTCGACGGGAACAGCTTCGTGCGCCTGCGCGTGCCGGCGGCGTACGCGGGCTCCCTCTGTGGCCTGTGCGGGAACTACAACCAGAACCCCGCAGACGACCTGAAGGCGGTGGGCGGGAACCCGGCCGGGTGGCAGGTGGGCGGCGCCCCGGGCTGCGGGGAATGTGTGTCAGGGCCTTGCCCGCAGCCTTGCACGCCGGAGCAGCAGGAGGCCTTCGGCGGCCCGGACGCCTGCGGCGTGATCTCCGCCACCGACGGCCCGCTGGCGCCCTGCCACGGCCTCGTGCCGCCCGCGCAATACTTCCAGGGCTGCTTGCTGGACGCCTGCCAAGCTCAGGGCCATCCTGGGGGCCTCTGTCCTGCAGTGGCCGCCTACGTGGCAGCCTGTCAGGCGGCTGGGGCCCAGCTCGACGAGTGGAGGCGGCCCGACTTCTGTCGTGAGTACCGATCCATGCGTGGTCCACGTAGCAGGGTCTCTCCCTCCCCTTCCCAAGACTCTAAGACAGCAGCCCTTTCCTCCTCCATGCGCTCAGGGGCTACCGTCCTTCCTCCTGAGCTAGGTGTGTCCTGTCAGGAAACACCTTGGCACCCACACACTGAAATGTACCAGGTCAGGAACTGCAGAAGGAGGAAATCCGTGAGAAACAAGCTAGTCATAGTCCAGGGACCATGGCTCATGCCTGTTATCCCAGCACTTTGGGAGGCCGAGGCAGGCAGATCACCTGAGGTCAACAGTTCGAGACCAGCCTGGCCAACATGTTCAAAGCTAGTCTCTATTAAAAATACAAAAATTATCCAGGTGTGTTGGTGCTCCTGTAATCCCAGCTACTCGGGAGGCTGAGGCAAGAGAATCGCTTGAACCCGGGAGATAGAGGTTGCAGTGAGCCGACACCGCACCACTGTACTCCAGCTTGAGTGACAGAGTGAAACTCTATCTCAAAAAAAAAAGAAAAACAAAGAAAAGGGGGGGGATAGTGGGAGGGAAAGAGAGAGAGAGAAGAAAGGAAGGAAGGAAGGAAGAAAGAGGGAGAAAGAAGCAAAGAGAGAAAAAGATCTAGTCAGAAATGCTGCGTCCAGGACACTCTTGGGATTACTGATTCATGTTCCTGGGGAGGGAGGGAAAGGAAGGAAAAAAGGAAAGATGGAAGGAAGGAAGGAACAAAGGAAGGAAGAGAGGAAGGAAGAGAGGGAGGGAGGGAGGAAGACCTAATCAGAAACCCCGGGTCCAGGACACTTTAGATTGGTGATCCATGCTCTCAGATATCCAAGGCATGTAGATTGGAATGGCTGACGCTGGTGACGTCACACAGCAGAGTACCCCTGATTAGGAAAACCTAGTAAGTTACAACCGGTCAGAAGCCCCTGGTCTGTTTCACACACCAAAATGCACCTAGTCACATAGAATTAGTCAAATACCTTCAGTGGTATCTGCTTAGATTTTACACTGAGGCTAACTGATTATACACTGAGAATCGGGACCCTGCCATAGCCCCGGGCAGATTCACACAGATGCAGTTAGATAGTCCTAGGTGGTTCCCTTCAGGCAGGTCTCCTGGTCACATGTATCCTGCCAACTTCACTCAGGCACACCCTGGGACAGACCATGTCAGAGGGACTCTGGGAGATGCTCCAGGTCAGATAGCCACAGCTGGGTGCCTCAGGCAGAGGTTTACCCTGAGATATGTGTGGCCCCACACCCCAGTCACTTTCGCACCCTGAGACCTCTGTCCTGATCTTGAATATCCTGATCAGTATAAGTGATCCATTTCACCCTGGGTTACAGCCTAGGTTACATAGTGAGACCCCATCTCTACAAAAAATAATAATAAATTAGCTTGACGTGGAGGCTGGCACCTGTAGTCTCAGCTACTCGGGAGGCTTACGCAAGAGGATCACTTGAGCCCAGGCAGTGGAGGCTGCAGTGAGCCGTGACTGGGCCTCTGCACTCCAGCCTGGGTGAGATAGAGTAAGACCCTGTCTAAAGAAAAAGAGAAAAATCAGCCAAATAGAGTCATTTGACCTTTAGAAATACTTGGTCAGGTTAACACACAAGCTGGTCAGAGAGACCTGGGCACGTCCCCTCCCATTGCAGGTCCCACGCTGGGTCCCCCAGTGACATGTCCTGGATCACATGTGATTACCTAGAGACACCCAAGCTAACCCGAGCAGTTTTCCCACTCAGGGCCTCCCCAGACCCCGACTGGAACAACTACCTGGCTCATGCCCACCTTGTCCCCACAGCCTTCCAGTGCCCTGCGCACAGCCACTACGAAGCTCTGCGGTGACTCCTGCCCCGTGAGCTGCCCGAGCCTCTCGGCACCCGAGGGCTGCGAGTCGGCCTGCCGTGAAGGCTGTGTCTGCGATGCCGGCTTCGTGCTCAGCGGTGACAGCTGCGTACCCGTGGGCCAGTGTGGCTGCCTCCACGATGGCCGCTACTACCCGCTGGGCCAGACCTTCTACCCGGGCCCCGGCTGTGATTCCCTTTGCCATTGCCAGAAGGGCGGCCTGGTGTCCTGTGAGCCCTCCGCCTGTGGGCCGCACGAGGTCTGCCAGCTGTCCGGTGGCAGCTTGGGCTGTGTGGCCGTGGGCTCTGCCACCTGCCAGGCGTCGGGAGACCCCCACTACACCACCTTCGACGGCCGCCGCTTCGACTTCATGGGCACCTGCGTGTATGTGCTGGCTCAGACCTGCGGCACCACCCGGCCTGGGCTGCCCTCGTTTGCCGTCCTGCAGGAGAACGTGGCCTGGGGTAATGGGCAAGTCAGTGTGACCAGGGTGATCACGGTCCAGGTGGCAAACTTCACCCTGCGGCTGGAGCAGAGACAGTGGAAGGTCACGGTGAGAGCAATGGGGAGCAGGGGTGAGGGGCCTGAGGCTGGGTGGGTGGGGCACGGGAGCGCTCAGTCCAGGAGTTGGGGGCACAGAGATGAGAGCGCATGTGGGAGGCCTGGGGTCCCTGAGGACAAACGATGCCAATCATAACCCAGAGCGGGAAGCCAAGGAGGGAAGTGTCATCAGGGTCTTGGGACCTGCTTCCCCATCTCTCTGTCCCTCAGTCTGCAGCCTTTCTTCACCTCCATGCATTGACCTTTGTCTCCAAATTTCCCCCACCCTCCCACTCCATCCTCACCCCACCTCAATGCTGGATTCTTCCCTACCCGTCTCCCTAGTCTGCCACTTATTGGCAGGACGTGGTGCCATCAGAGGTTAGGAAAGTTGAAGGCTGGAGAAGCTTCATAGACAGAGGACAATCTGTGGGTGACACCATTGCCCCCTTAACAGTAGCAGCTGGCCGGGCCTGGTGGCTCACACGGGTAATCCCAGCACTTTGGGAGGCCGAGGTGGGCAGATCATGAGGTCAAGAGATTGAGACCATCCCGATCAACATGGTGAAACCCCATCTCTACTGAAATACAAAGAAACTAGCCGGACATGTTGGTGCACGCCTCTGGTCCCAACTACTCAGGAAGCTGAGGCAGGACAATGGCTTGAACTTGCAAAACGCAAGTTGCAGTAAGCTGGGATCAGGCCACTGCACTCCAGCCTGGCAGTAGAGCGAGACTCTGTTGCAAAACACAAACACAAACAAAAACCAAATTAGTAACGGCAGCAGCTATAGTTTCTACATAGTGGACTGCAGATCTTGTTGGCCGCCAGGCACTTCCTGTCCATGGTGTCTGTGTCTTTGCAACAGTAGCTGCAGGCAGTACGACTTGATTTATTTTTCAGAGTGTGATGGTCCATCACTGGCCCACAGTCACCCAGCAAAGGTAGAGCTTGAATCTCGTGCTGCCCTGCAGTGCTTTATTACTGAGAAGATGTGGTCTCACATGGAGACTGGCATCTCAGTTACAATGGAGGGGTTTCCCCTGAGGTCCCACTGAAGCACAGACACGCCGCTGTTGTTCTAGCAGCAGTATTGGTGACAGTGCTGATAAATTGCTGATTTAATGGGGTGCACTAGACAGGTGTGACTTTTTTTTTTCAATTTAGACAGAGTCATGCTCTGTCATCCAGGCCAGAGTGGGTTCAAGTGATTCTCCTGCCTCTGCCTCCAGAATAGCTGGAATTACAAGTGTGCAACACTACGCCCAGCAAATGTTTGCATTTTTAGTAGGGACGGGATTTTGCCTTGTTGGCCAGGCTGGTCTCAAACTCCTTATGTCAAGTGATCTGCCGGGCTGAGCCTCCGAAAGTGCTGGTCCTCTGCCTCAGGCA